GCAATATTAAAGGAACCATGAAAGACAATTTGATTGTAAAGTGTCCTTTGCTTTCTCTAGAAGGAATATCAAAACATTAGTTGTTATGCAAATATAATTGATAATTATTCTAGATACAACTTTGTTCCTTTATTTTTCACAATGAAATTCTTTCATGATAAGTCCATCCTTATGGAAATTGAATATTGTATGACAATGAAAAAATTGAACAAAAAATGGAGAACATGAAAATAAATTGATTAGTGGAGATCATTGTTTTTTTTATCAAATTTGTTTGTCTCAAGATAATTTAAATAATGTTTTGAAAGACTAAAATTGTTAAACTTTGGTCGTATTAAATTTAAATAATGATTAAAAGAAAATTAAACTTAATAGGAAAAATTCAATTTTAAATGCATAGTATTTTAATATATCCAAACAATATATTTAAAAATACATGTATTTGAAATTTATTTTTTTTATTCAATCCAAACAATGTATTTTAAAATATATGTATTTTAAATACATGTATTTCAAATACAAATACATATTCCCAAACACAACCTTTATGTTTTTGTAAACTTATCTTGCACATAAAGGATAATTGAAAGGCACATCTTTTTCTCTTATTTTTTTGTTTAATAAACATGTAACGGAAAAGAATAATAAAGAATATATTAGTCTATTATAAATCAAATAATTAGATAAACATGCATGTTACTTCCTTTTAATTATTGTGGTCGTTATTATTAGTATTATTATTTCTTATTATTACTATTAATATTAATTTCAAAATATGTGTCATAGAAAATAGAAATGAAACATATTTTATTTGATTGGTATTAATGTCAATGAAGATCAATTAATCAATGCAATTATCCTTTAATTTTAAAAAATATAGGTAATAAAAACCTTTTGATTTATTAACATATCATGTATTGTAACATTATATGTGACATTTTTCATATTATTGTTATTGTTTTGTACTATAAGTAGTTGTACATTGAGAGTTAATGATCTTACTTTTTTGCAAATAACATTAAAAAATAACATTGAAAAATTATATATAGTAATATCTTAAATAGTTTTAAATTTATAAAATCATATTATTTCTTACTCAATACTTCCTTTCAGATTAAATATTTCAACAATATTGTCATTCATATAAATTTTTATAAATTGAGCATTCAACAATGAAACACCTCCTAATAAAAAAATAGTTTATTTTAAAATTAAGTTACACAATTTGTAAAATTTTTTATTTTAATAAAAAAATGTAAACTTCGTTATATACTTATCTTTATTATCTTTACCATCATAAATGTAAATATAATAATCTCCACATTTAAGTTAT